GCGAGCCAGCAGAGCAAAACCAGACCTTTTTGAATCACTCAACAAAATGTAATTAATATTTTCCAGGTGGAGTAGTAACCGCATCAGTGAAAAGCACGTTTCTTCAAGACCTTGCTCCCTGATTGGCACAGGTCATGGCCACTGTATTTTTCCTCTCATGAGGTGACAAGTTGTGTTCCTTTGTTGGTCGTATGTCAGGCGGTGTCTTTTATGGTCTTGAAATCAGGTGACAGGTCGACTTCCTCTGATGTCTTGTAGCTGTCACGGCAGATGAGGAGAAGCTCACTGTCGAGGTAGAGTAATACAGAGAACAACGGACGGTCATTTCACCTTCTGTGGTCCCGTTAAACATCCGGCTTTACGACAATCACTGCTGGTTCCAGTGGTTGTGTGCGATGTGCGTACGAACCTGAATCCTTCAAGGCTTGATGACGACTCCTCGCTGTGTTGATGTGCAGCGAGAAGAGTAAGAAATACTTAGCACACAGTCGCAGTAGCAGTGATGTCTCAAAGGTATTATAGCAACTCAGTTAACACTCTCTCCCTCCCTCTCTCTCTCTCTCTCCGTCTATGTCTCTCTGGATGGTGCATTTACAGTAATTTGTGCCACATTTACAGAAACTCCTGAGGCTTGTGTGACTTTAGCACGTATTACCTAACTCTCACCCACACTAGATCATATATTTAACTTTTTCAAAGTCTCACGTGTTCAAATACTCAGCGTGTGATTTAGCAGCTGTGAAGCTACAGTAGCTACATGTCCTCCAATCCATGGTAGGACATGTTTTGATAACTGACACACAAATCGCACACCTGCACAAAAGTCATAAAGATATATCTTTATTTATAACTTTAAACGAACCTTTTGAGCTTGCAAACATGTATCTAGAGTTGTTGAACAAGTTACTTAACACCTTTCAAGATGTTTTTCACTGTGGTTTTGTTGCCACCATTCACACTTGGTTGTCAGCTTTAGCATAGTAGCCAAAATCACATTAAAGCACATCCTCAGGCATTTGTTACATACCAGTTAAATGGCATTAATTGGTTTTAAAGATCCATCTAAAACAATTACACTGTTACACTGTTTACTGTAAAAAAAAAAAAAAAAAAGTGTCCATCTTAAAATAACTTCCAGTGACTGTCCTGTTGAGTGGACCACATTATCAGCTAACACTGTTTTTATGTAGCTGTAGGAAACAGGAAGTGCTTTTCTTTCACTAAGGCTGGAACATCTTATTTTTTTCCAGTTCTTTGCTTACTTACTCCGCTCTGAGCGATCTGGAGAGTGCTTCTTTTTCTTTCTTTTTTTTTTATTGTAAACAATGAGAAAAGGAAGCCAGCATTTTGAAAATAGCACGCAACCCCCCATCATCTGTAACACAACATCTGTCCGTGGCTTCTCGTTCCTCCGTGTTCTCCATGTACTGTATATTTAAAATGTTATAACTTGTATTCCAGTTTGAGTGCCTTTGAAAACCAGTGACTTTTTTTGATTTCAAATACAATATGTGATGAAACTAACTACATGGTATTCAACACAAGTCAGCTCCTTAAAGCAGGGGTTCTCAAAGTGAGGTCCGGGGACCACCAGGGGTCCTGCAGGGAGTCCGTGGTCTCATTAGGGGACAGTGTAAGGGGGGTTTGATGTGAAAAAGTTTGAGAACCACTGCCTTAAAGCATAAAGAAAACACCTCTTGTCAGGTTCTAGCTAAAGTGATAAAATAACTAAACCTCCAGAAAGTTTATGACGCCCCAACCCTCTTTAAATTCAATATTTTATATGTGCAAATCAAATCTTAAAAAATAATGTAAATCCAAGATACCTGTAGGTTTTAAGATACCATAATTTGCTTTAATTTTCTACCTATAATATATTTTTTTAATATATGTCAGTATATTTTTAAATGCTAATAAAACCTAAAAGTTATTTTTGACCTTATGTTTTGCATAAAGAGATACTGTCAACACATACAGTGCAGTAGGTGAGTTTGTGCAAAAGTTTGTTTCCCTGCTTCAAATACTGCAGCCTGAAAAATGAGAAAAAAGGATTATAATCTGCCGGGTGAGCCTGCACTTCAAACTCAAGTTCCCTAATGGGATATTTAGCTCGCAGCAACACCCACCACACAATGTGTGCATCCAGTAAACATAGAGAAACAATGCCAAACGAAAGAGAGGTAGACGTATTTAAAATGAATGTAAAAAAAAAAAGAAAAGTAAAATAGCACAGGCTCCATGGTGAGATTATACTGTATGTCTATTCTACAGTACGTTATAAATCATGCATGATCGCCTTAGTTCTCCTCTCTGCAGCTGATGCTAACTGACGTGCACTTCTGTATCATAAACAGTAGCTCTCTCTGGTGGGAGTCGATTGTGTGAAAGCAGCTTAGGAAGATGAAGCCGGTAGCTGGGAGGGTGAAATTGAGATTCCATACAGTACGGTGGGTTTCTGTGAGAGGAGACAGGCTGCTCCAGCGCAAACGAGACGTGATAGTGCGGGTGGATTGGCTCGCAGAATAGCTGACTGTACGTCCGTCTGCCGGGGGCCCAGTGTTTCTTTTAAATTTGAACCGCTCAAATCGAGGAATATTTTCTGGAGATGCTTCCCACACACATGGTGTTTAGTCGAGGCGCTAGTCGGTGCTTCTGTAGCAGGAATTTGACATTTCTGTCACAGGACAAACTGTCTCAACCAAAGGGCAGATCGCCCTGACTGTATTTTTGTCTCCGGTGTTCTGTGAAGATCATTTAAAAAGAAAAAACTGATGAAAAAAAATAACTGACCCAGCTACTTTGGTTTGTTCCAGTCTTCTGGAAAACTGATGTTTTGAATCTCATTTTCTTAAGAAGTAAATAAGCTGCAGAGGTTGTTATCATCTGCTTTGCTCCGAGTTTTTTAATGATATCTGGAAGTCAATATGTTTTTAGAAATATTTTCCTTGTACATTCGCGTATGAATGTTGCTTAGAGCACAAAACAGAAAAGTCATTATTGAGTATTTCATGGTTTATTTGGGGTCAGACGTTCACACGGACCACAGAGAAAGCTGGTTATTCAAGATCAAAACATATATGTGGTTTCTGAAAATCTGCGTGCCGGTATTTTGATATTTAAACATCTCAGCTGAGTCATCTCCACAAAAAATAAATAAATAAATAAATAAATAAACATCAAGAGAGATGTGGATTATCTGCAGAGCCATCATGCCTTCCAAAGAGGGCGCTGTATGTGGTGCACTATGTGGTGTGATGTGTTTTTTCTTGTACCAAACTTAAATTTTTTAGGAATGATGATTTTAATGTGGCACTGAATGTTAAAGAGTCGTTATCGTCTTTTATCGTAACAGACAGCACTGCGCTTGCTGTTTGTTTCTGCAGTTGAGCTGATGTCACGGGTCCCCTGTGGGTTTGCTGGAGTTTTGTTGGCGAACTTCCATTTTTAGCTCGTGCAAAGAAGGAAAAATAAGATGAAGCTGATGATACTGAACATGCAATTAAGCCTTTTTTTTAAAAAAAAAATTAAATCTGCTTTACTGGGTGAACTTTAGATGCCTGGTTACATTATTAAACCCTAATACGTGTTTTTGCCAAAATCGCCCATTATTAACATTAACTTTGTTCCCTCACCTGTGACTGCCATCACAACTAATAATGCTGATGATTTCAGCGTGTGTGTGTGCGTGTGTGTGTGTGCGTGTGTGTGAGATCTGCTCGGTTTGGACGGCGGCTGCTGTCACATTCGGGATTTCCTGTGTTTGTGAGTCATGTTTTATCAGCTGCTGGATGTGTCAAATTATTTCATCAGCGGTGATTCAAGGCGACGCCTCATTCATGTCGACGTTTGAATGGCCATTTGCGATGGCACAGGGTGATTTGTTTTGATTGTCTGTTTGTGTCGGAGGTTTGATAGTGACGGGGGCCGACGTTTCTTTACTCAAATCACACAAACTCCTTCCCGCCTTCATTCCTCCGTTCTCCTCCCTTTAAATGTCATCCCTCTTTCCCTCCTCCTCCCTCTCTTGTTCCTCTTTCTCTCCCTAATGCCACAATCCCTCTTTGTCTCTTTTTGTCTCTCTCATACCTCCCATGCCCTAATCCCTCCTTCTCCCCCTCTCCTCCCTCTCTGTCTCCTCCCGTGACCGTCCCTCTATCTTCCTCCCACTCCTCTTCCTTCCTAATTAAGCGCTCCCTCTCTCTGTTTCCCGTCCAAATCTGCTCTCTACCTCTCTACCTCTCTCCCTGTCCATCCCTCCCTCGATTTCTCCCTAATCCCTCTTTCATTTTTTCACCCTCTATCCCTCCCTCCTTCCCTCCTTCCTTCCTCGGTCCTTGTTCTCCCTGACAACACACTGCGTTATGTAATCTACGTCTCTGGGTATTAGTTATGCAAATTCATACATTTTTATTTACGTGTGATTTTTCCCTCTGTCTGTCTCTCTTTCTCCTCCCTCCCTCCCTTCTTTTCTCCTCCTCTATCCCTCCTCTGCCTCTTTCTGTACCTCTCTTCTTCTCTTTTTTCTCTCTATCTTCCTCCTCTCATTATTCATCTCTTTTGTCCCTCTCATTTGATCCACATTTCCTTTCCTCCTTTCCCTCTTTCATCTCCTCTCTCCCCCGTCCACCTTCATCTGTTTCTTTCCCCCTCTTCTTCCTTTTTTCCATGCCTCTCTTTTCCTTTTTTCCTCCCTTTCTCCTTCTCTATTTTTTCTCCTCCTTTTCCCTCCCACTTCACCCTAAATAATCTTATTTCCCTCCTTATTTCACTCCTTCTCTCTCCTCTGTTGCCCCCCTCGCGCCTCCCCTCTTTCTCCCTCCATCCATCACTTCCTCTCAACATTTTTCCCTCCGCCCTCTCCTCTCTTTCCTCCCTCTTCCTCCAGCCACAAGCGGTCTAGAGGCAGAGAGCGGCAGGCGCGGCGGCAGCAGCAGCAGCAGCCACGGCGACGGCACCCACAGCAGCAGCGGTGGCGGCGGAGGAGGAGGCAGCAGCAGCAG